TTCCCTCGTTCCCCGCAAATGGGGGAAATATCCAAAAAAATTACAAATTTAAAAATCGACAAATTTTGTCATTTTTTTCACTTTTTTTTCTTAAAACTTCCATAACTTTTTCAAAAATCAACAAATCAACATATTTTTTTTATATACTAAAACCTTAGATATTTTCCTTTCATTTGATATAATTTTTTTGAAAATTTAACATTTAACCTGCTCATGGGGGGGGAATTAAAATTGCAACTTTTTTACAAAAACTAACTTTTTCAACTTAATTTTTGAAAATGTTCCGGAAATACTGCGTCCTTTAAACATATATAAAATTAAAGCTTATTTTATGTACTACAAAATGAAAAAAAAAAATTTGTCCCGACGACCTATCTTCTATACGCAAATGGCTACCATATTCAAAAATATGCTATTTTTGTATGAAAATTATGGGTTTTGTATTTTATTTTAATAGAAGTTGATGTTGCTTTTGCAATTATCCATCAATTTTTTAAAATTAAACACTATCTACAGATTTGCATCGAAGCGTTTCTTATGATAGTGATTTTAATCACTATCAGATTAAATCTATACTGAACCCAACTATGCAATGTCTCCACTATGCCGCGACCCCACTGTGCTACCGTTTTTATATTTGAAGATAGCTATTTTATAGATAAGTTTTGAAGAAAAATTTTTATACCAAGGATTCTTATTTTAATTCAAAATTTAACTTTACACAGAATTTTGATGTTTATTAAGTTTTGAATTTTTCTTTGGTATCAAACGCTTGTTTACGGAAGTAAACTTTACCTTTTTATGTTATTTACTGGTAACAGTATGCAATTTTATTTCCATGAAAAATAATAATATTCGAACGCACTTTTTACAGAAATGAGTACCTCAAATCTTTATTACAAAATGTTAGAAACATTTTCGTGTGTTAATTACAAGTTTTCGAAAACTTATAAATAATAATCGTTTTCCTATGATAACTAATAAAATTGACGATTTTTTAAATTTTTTTCTATAATAAAATAACTAATTCTCTTAGAATCGCATCAATACTAAAAAAAAATTGAAAATGATCTTAAAGCATATCTTTATATATTCTATCAAAAATTGTTTAGACGATTTAAAATTAGCAATAGGTATACTTAGTGAATAGTGTAATATTTCATGATATAATATGTAAATTCCTTATAACTTAAAGAGGTGTCAACTTTATTTTTTTAAATGCCAGCATACATATTTAACTAGCTTATAAAATAGGAAATAATCTAATTATGAAAATATGTAAATTTTTGACTAGTATTTCAGAAGTTAACAATTTAAAGTATTGACTGGAGGAGAAGAGTGGGTGTTGCTATTTTTATCACTGGTCATTTTCCGACCGTACTCTTTCATCCCGCCCAGGTATATAAATGAGAATTACTTTTGAAATACTTGTCCTAAAATTGTTATCGAACAGTTATTTTCTTAATTAGATTATTTTCTATTTTTTAAGTTACTTAAATATGTATGTTGGCATTTAAAAAAATAAAGTTAACACCTTTTTAAGTGATAAGCGATTCTAAAAAGTCATTATTTTCTGATAAATGGAAAAATATATGTAAAAAAAACAAAAAATTGTTTTCCAATATTGTATTTATTTTACGAGTAATCGAGTGGTTAATGATAAATTTGAAGTAAACTATTTACCATTTACTTATTAAGTTAATAATTTTAACTATATAGTAGGTATGGTTTGCTGTAAAATAATTATATGACATATTTAATGTCATGTTTTTTTTTTGCTAATTTCACTATTTAATAATGATTTTATAATTTCTCATTCAACGACTACTTTTGGGCAAAAATGTTTTTTGTTAAATATTCTTATTAGAGTAATCTTATAGGCACAATAGCTGGAGTAAACTTAGATTCCATCATATACGTTAAATATATTCATAAATTTAATTTATTTTATATTGCCGAGTTTATGGTTTTTTCAGGTAGACTTGAAATTTACAATGTCGGAAATAACAAATGAGGAAACTAAATTTAATTATGTTGTTATGCGACTGAAGTAGAAGATATTAATACTAATCCATTGCTTACAGAACGCTAAAAAAACCTGCGCGTAAAACTTGTTGAACGATTGCATATCTCTCAAAGACAACGTGTGCGTCAATTCATTAATGTAGAAGAACTGGATGAACATAAGCCAACACGGTATTAACTTTGGCTAAGCCGTCTATCATTATATGATAGCTATTTTAACTGCTCAATTAGAGCTTTCCCTAGAAAATGTAGGTAAGCTGGCTGACAACATTTTTGAGATACAGCCCTCCCGCCCTTTATCCATTGTGTTGCTACAACGAAATGCTCATGAAACAAGTAAGAGAATTATGTGCCAAACGCCCGTAACAAATCCTTTCTAGGTCACGTAGTCATCATCGTAACAGACCTCCAAATAATTCAAACTTGGAACAGATTAATAACAAAGGATGATATCATTGTACATTTGAAGAAAAGGGTGGCAAGTGTAAAGCTCTCTGCAAGTACCAGATAAACTGTAATGGCAGTCAGTAGTGGCGGAAACAGACTGCCCAAATCCTAGTAGCCACTTGTTTGTTACAAACAAAATGCCACCCACATAGCAATTTTGATATATTAATATTGTCAAAATATTCTTACAAAAAATACTTTTTAAAATATTTTGAAGCAAATATTTATGTATTTATTTATACCATTTTATACAGGCAAAGCCCAAAATATATATAACAGTCATCAAAAACATCATTAATAAAAATTAGTGAGGAACAAGTAACAAAAGAAAATTTATATATACATTGATACAAAATATAAATTAAAACAACATAAACGAGGCTTAATTAAAATAAATCGAAAGTTATATTGTGAAAATATCTCATAAATATAATAAAAAATATATTCTATTGAAATATTTCCATAATATGCTCACAAAATAATTTTTAAATATTTTTTTTATGTATATTTTGAGAATATATTAAAGAGAATAAATTCAGAATATCGCACTAAAAATATTTCTACAATGTGCTTAAAAAATATCTTTTTTAATATTTGCTAATATATATTATAAAAATATATTAATTAGAATAAATATAGAATAATTAACTCGAAATATTTGTGGAATATATTATCAATGTAATTTTTTAAATATTATAAATATATATCTTGTTGGTCAACTGAATTAATTTAACAGAGGCAAGCCATCCCCTTGCCACCCTTTAGTTACACCCTTGGATTTTATTGGTATCTAGTTATATATATATATATATATATATATATAAATCCTTAATAAGTAAACAACTGTTTTCTATAATTAGTATAAATTTTAATTAAGCTAGGTAAGTCAGGGACAATCTTTATTGTTTATGTGGATTTCATTCCGAAGTGATTCACCTACAACCGTGATCAGCGTTAGCACTAGGTTCTATTTGCTGGGCACAAAGAATCAGTGAGCGAGGTGCGACAAGTCGGCTCATGGTCCCCGTGTCTTCCAACGGAACACCAG